AGTTTGAAAATCAGTTCTTACCAATGAATCATCTTCTCCAATAAATTGTTGGACTATAGGGTAACTGGTCAAAGCTTTACTGAAAAAGGGAGTCACATTGTCCCATGTATTTTGTGAAAAACTTGAAAAAAGCCCATACGCTACTAATTACTAATATATAATAAAATAAAAATTTAAAATTTTTAAAATATTTATGTATTTTTATTTTTTTAGTGCCAGACTTAAATTTTTATTTTGTCAATTTAATTTGTTTCTATATTAATATTTATTTATTAATATTTTATTTATTGGAGGTTACTTTAATTACAGAAAGTTTTTAATTTAAAAATGTTGCAAAACTACATTGTTGTTCCATCTTAATTAATATGCAACGATACTCTTTTTATGTGTTTTTATTACACCTACAAACCAATTATACAGATAAAATAATTTGACACAGTTCGTGTTCATTGTAAAATTTTTTAAAAGAAATTGTGTTACAACAAATATATGAGTAAAACATAATAAATCGGTAAGTACTACAATAATTTAACTTCGGAAATAACTTAGATATGCCTTACAGGAAATGAAAAATAAAAAAGCTCCTGGTGCGGATCGAGTAACGCCTGAAATGTTAAAAATGGGCGGCAACATCGTTGTAGATGTTGTGGAAGTTTTGTTGAATAAGTGTCAACAGAAAAAAGAATAACCAGTCTGTAGGAAAACGCCGAAATAATACTTTTACACAAGAAAGGAGACACTAATAATATTGAAAACTACAGACCTACAAGTTTGTTGTTACACTTATACAAATTGTTAACAAGAATAATATCCAACCGCATAACATAAAAACTTGATTTATAACAACCGGTTGAACAGGCGGGATTTAGAAAAGGGTTGGTTTGCGACTAACGATCACTTACAAACTATCAGATACTTACTTACAGATATAATGTACTTTTACATTATGGCATTTATTGACTTTCACAAGGCTTTTGATAGTATCGAAACTTGATCCTTTTTGTCAGTCCCGAGGGATGCTCGATTAGACTCACGGTACACTACATTTATTAAAAACATTTATAAATACACCCAATAAGATATAATAAACAAAAAAGAGGTTAGTCTTCGTAAATGGGTATATTTATTTAAAAAACCCTTAAAAGTGCTACATAAAAAAAAACAAACGTTTTCGGACTAAACGTCCATCATCAGATTTAAAATTGCTAGGTTAAAATGCCTGAGCCACCAAAATACCAGGGTAAAAACCCTTTAAATTACATGTAGTTGTTAAAGATTGTACATATTGTTGTTATTAAAATGCGATGTTAAATATTTAATTGAAATTGACTTTAGGTAACATGTTTGAAGTGAGTTCCAGTGTCCGGAGAGTGAACTGGTAAAGTTAGCAGCTGTAGTCCGTTTGAAGAGGTTCACTATAAAATATAAACAGTTTTATATATGCGACTTACAAGGCTAGTAGAATAAACAATGATATTTATAATAACATTTTTTACTCATTTGTTTATTAATTGTTTTACCAATATTAAAAGTGTTACTTTTTGGCATTGACCTAATTTCACCTCGAACGCATGGATAAAAATTAAAAGTTTATTCAGATTTTCCTTCCCTAACCTTACAGTTCTCTATCTGTAGTGATTGCTATATTAAAGACACAATGAAGAAACAATAATTAAGAAAATTTTAAGATACTTTTTTTTCTCTACTTGTTTCTACCGATTCACTATGGCCTCTGTTTATCTCTAATACCTTATCATAACATTTTTTGATCAAAACCTGTTCTTTTATTAAGTTTTATTAAAAAATTCTTTACCCTTGATGAAAATAATTTGTAAATAATCTAATAGATTTTTGTAAATGAAACGAAAATAGATTTTCTTGAGGAAGACTGATTATTATACAAACATGTACTTACCGGGTGGTCCAATAAGCCGATCTCTCGGCTATATATCAGAAAATTTTTTTTATTTTTTCAAATAAAGGGTGAGGGAGAGAGGGAAAGTATTTGTAGATAAATACCTATAACTTTGGTTTGGATTAACCGATTTTAACGAAATTAGTGACATTAGAAAGAGCGTAAATGATTTAATTTATATCTACTATAAAACAATTGTATTTAGTTTTGTTTATCATGGTAGAGGGTACTTTTAAATAGAAAAAATTAAAATTTGTCTTTCTTTAAAATATTTAATGGAAACACCTATTTATTGTAGATTATAATGAAACTGAATTAAATTCGTAACAAAATAGCGCAAACCGCATATTGATAGCTTTTGTCGAACTCTAGATATGAATAAAAATGCACAAACATAAGTAAGTATAGTATTGACTCACCCTTTACTATAACTGAAAATTCATTCATTCAAATTGTTTTCCATCGTTGTCCACACAAAAATGTAATCTTTGGTACGTAGACATAACAGCTGCTTCAAGCTTAGCTGCTGATATACTATTTATTGCGTTTATAATGCGCTGTTTCATGTCGTATTGCGTGGTTGGTCGAGTTTGGTACACTAAGTCCTTCAATCTTCCCCACAGGTAAAAGTCCAGACATGTTTAGTCTGGAGATCTAGCTGGACATAAAAATATACTTCCTCTTTCAATCCATTTATTTGGATAACTTGCATACAAAAAATAATCTCGAACTCGTTTGGAAAAGTGCGCAGGGCACACAGGGAAAAACAGGCAACTGATTTTCCAGAAAATAAAAATATGTTTCGCCATGTAAAGTTCTATCAAAGATATATGGACCTACAATCTTTCCATCAACTATACCATACCAAACATTAAGACTCCATCTACCTTGAACCTGCACCTCATGTATACAGTGCGAATTTTCTTCAGCCCAATAATGCATATTATTGGGCTGAATTGGGCATATTATTATTAACACCACCCGCACTATTAAACCTAACCTCGTCTGACCACAAAATCTTTGACATGATATGCGGTTGTTCTCCTAGCAGACCTAATATCCAATTGCAGTAATTCAGCCTTGCATCAAAATCTCTCTTATGTAAAGCTTGGTAGAGAACTACATGATAAGGATGCAGTTTAAAAAACAGAACAACAAATATTGGTGAAAAAGAAACCACTATATTTACTAAAACTAAAAAAATGTTGAAAAAACTACAATTGTTTCACAAGATAAATCGTACTCTTTTCTTCTTGACCATCTTCCTCGTCAGCAGTCAAATGAGTTAATTTGCCATAAAGCAATACTCTAGTTATGTAAGTCTGTCTTGAAGTCACCAAAGGTATCGGCTGTTTGGAAAATAACTTTTTAGGCCGGATTTCATACCATACGTTTTCAGTAAGCTCAGGTAAATTTGCAGAAATATTTTTATGAGTTTTAGTTCCTTCAACGTAGACAAAACTTTTCTCTAAATCTACATTTTCAGTGGTGCAAACGCAAGGTCTTTTAAAGAAAAGTGCAACTTCTTCATCACCAGGGTGATGTCTAGGGTTTATCATTCCAAATTTGCGCATGATTATAAATAAGATAAATCGTGCATAAGTATTTTTAAGAAATGGATAAAACGATAAAAGTGCCGTGTTGCCGTTTTTATCGGAATATTAAAATAACAGCTTTGAATCTAAAGTTTCTGACCTAAACGTTCAATTTATAATATGAAAAACCAACTTGTGATATTTTAAAATCCTTAGAACAGTAGTTTTTTGTATGTTTAATTCTATAGAAAGTTGCCGACTACTTATAATGTGAATTCTGTTGAATTAAAGCAAAAACATTAATTGAATTTTCTTTGGTCATACCTCTACTACTTTGTTTAAAACAAGGACGTTGAAAACTACCAGTTTCTCTTAATCTTCTTGCTTTTCTTTCAAATACTTCTTTGCCATAATGTCTCCTGTCAGGATATCTTACAGAATATATACGTGAGGCATTAGCGGCATTTTGGTGACATTTGAAATAAACTCCAATCATATCATACAATTCTTTTCTGCATCTGCATTTGGTATTCTCATCACGAATTATTAGTACTGATAATTAATTACTAATATTACCAATACTAACATCTATTAAAAAAAAGTGCAATCTTCAATTCAAATTATAATAAAACACTTCTTAACAATGTTTTGACTGCTGTCAATAAATAAACAATATGAACTCCCCGTCAAATTCATTGTCGTAGCCTACTTAGTTTCGAAAAAACTATTTTTAATGGTCAAAATAGTCAAATGGTCAACAATGGTCAAAATAGGTCTCAACATTAAGATTCTTTTTTTATAAAAAAATTTAAAAGTACCTACTGACTTATTTTTTCTTATAATTTATAATACAGGGTGAGTCAATACTATACTTACTTATGTTTATGAGTTTTTATTCATATCTCGAGTTCGACAAAAGTTATTAACATGTGGTTTGTGCCTTTTTGTTACGAATTTATTCCAGTTCCATCATAATTTACAATAAATAGGTATTTACGGTAATCATTTTGAAGAAATACAAATTTTAATTTTTTCTATTCGAAAGTGCTCTCTACCTATGACAATTAAAACTAAATGCAATTATTTTATAGTCGATGTAAATTAATTAAGCCAAACTATTTTTAATGACAATAATTTCGTTAAAATCAATTGATCCAAACCAAAGTTGAAGGTATTTATCCACAAATACTTTCTTACTCTCCCCCACCTTTAATTAAAAAAAAAAAAACAAAAAAAAAAGTACTCAAACAACTTTGTGCAAAATTTAGGCCTCTTTTTAGTTTAATTATTTAATACTTAGTATAATTGGGCATATTTCCCTAAAAAACTGGTTTTCAAAGTTTTCTTCACAGGTTACGCCCCCTAGCGGTTAACTCAGAAACTTGAAAGTTCTTTCCAGCGATTTCTTTTGACCACTTTTACTAAGGAATCTTTTTTCCTTAAGTTATAATATGAATAGTTTCTGATATATAGTGGAGAGATCGGCTTATTGGACCACCCGGTACATACACTTCAACATAAATAAATATAATCATGCATAAGTAACTTACATAATGACCTCCAAACAATGCTATCCATAAATTACCATTCAGATCTATGTTTAATCCATCCGGAATACCTTCAAAACCGGCATCTTCAATATTTATAACAGTGCGTCGGTTAGCTACAATCAGTAAATATTATTTAGCCATCATTTTGAAATTAAGATTAATAAATAAGAGTAGTATAAAGTTAAAAAATAAGTAACTGTTTATAAAAAACGATCTGGCAAATGTAAAACACCGATGCGAGAGTTCGTAAATCTATCCTCGACACATTATTAATTCTTGCGATAATGACAATCATCATAAACCGTGTATATCCGCTATCGGAGAAAAGCTTTTTTTATGATCACTTTAGAATATTTCTTCCATTTCGTTCTCTTGGAATTTACATCTATCCTCTGTCAGAATGGTGTTTCCACTGTTTCAGATCTATTAACTGTAAGTTGGATTTTTCCTTTCCTTCTCTCCGGAGAGACTTAATCACCTTCCAAGCTTGCCCAACTCCTGTTCCACCCATATACCTATCCACCTCTGCACATCTTCGATCCCACATCTCACTTTTACTTTTCACTACTTCTCTTTTTATATCTCGATTTAATTTTTGATATATCTGATAATCTACCTTATTTCTTGTTGACATCCATTTCTGATAAGCAGTTTTCGTCTTGTTGACTAACGTTTGCATATTCTCCGACCACCATTCTTGATTTTTTGTTTTATGTTTGTCTTTATAACCCAGAGCTTCACTTGCAGCCTCATGAATGCATTTTTTAAGTTGCTGGTATAATTCTTCCGCTGATACATTTTCTCGATCCACATTTTGTAGTTTTGTGGCCAGTCGTAATTTGTAAAGAAATTTCATTGAATCTTCTTGTCAGCTTTCTAAGTTATATTTAGGGGATGTCACTTCTTGTCCTTTTTCTATATTCTGTACCTGAGTGTTATTGTTTTTGCGATAGGTAATAATCACGTTGGCTATAACTAAACGATGGTCGGATCCACATTCTGATCCACGGTATACCCTTACCTCAGTTGTTTTCAGCTGGGAAGTTTGACGTTGGATCACATAGTCGATTATCGAGCGTAGGTTTCTAGTAGGTTGTATCCATGTAAATTTGTGAATGTCTCTATGTTGAAAAAATCCATTCATAATTTTGAGAGACATTGTTTCACAAAAATCTTTAAGACGCATTTGGTTGTCATTAGTTATTTGTTCTCCATATCTTCCTACGACTCTGTTATTTTCTTCTCTCCCTACTCTGCCGTTTAAATCTCCTAGTATAAAGATTTCACAGGTTTCTTTAATTTCAGAGAGTATTTCATTTATCTTGTAGAAATCGTCTTTACTTTCTGGATCTCCATCTTTGTTTGAGGCATACACTCCGACAATTACGATGTTGTGCCCATTCTTTTTTATTTTCAGTATTAGCAGTTGTTCATTTACTTCAGGTCACGATTTAATATTGTTTTTAAGATTTTTTCGAATTGCAATAGAGACTCCTCTCTTAGCTCTGTTATCTTTACTTACTCCATTGTAGATATATATATATATATATATATATATATATATATATATATATATATATATATATATATATATATATATATATATATATATATATATATATCCTATCTCTTCATTTCTTTTTCCCTTTTTCTTGGTCTCCGTGAGAAAACATATATCTATTTTTCTTTCCGCTTATTCTTTGAACACCTCCGCTTGTTTGAATCTAAGTCCTTGTACATTCCATGTAGCCAATATCATTTTCCTTTTCTGTTGCATTAGTCGTCTTTGTTTTGATCCATCCTTTGTATTCCGAAGCTTTTGGTCGAAAACTTTAGCATTTATTTGTTTTGACAAAAAATGAGTTGCTAGCCCATCGCCTCAACCCTAGTCTTTTATCCGGGCTTGGGACCGGTACCGGTATTTACTGAGCTACTCAATCCACCCAGCACTTACCGGAGGCGGAGTTACAATCAAAATAAACCTAAAAATAAGAAAATAGATTTATTGGAATTCACGTTTTACGTTGCAGAAGCTTTAGTTTTCTCTAAAGCAGCACTGAGAACACCGAAAAAAAGTCGTCCTTTAAATGAGTCACCTGAAAATTCTTCTAAAGATTCCCTTGGAAGTTCCCCTTTTACGTTTGGAGAAGATGAACCTTCTAAACGAATGAAACAGCAGCAACCTGTTAGCGAAGTGAGATATGATGAAATTTCTCACTGGGCAATTCCTGCAAAAGGTCTCGAACAGCGTTGCGGTTTTCAAGGATGCAGCGGAAGATCACGCACGATGGGTAAAAAGTGTAACGTCTTTCAGTGCTTGTTAAAAGACAAAAATTGTTTCAAAAGTTATCATACAAAACGTCATAAAATATTATATATAATTTTATGTTTATTTATGCCTTAATAACCTTTTGGTGGCGGTTGCCACCAATTTGTAAAATAAATAGTGGGGGGTCAAAAGTTTTGTAAAAAATAGTTTTAGTATTATTTAGGTATCCAATTAAAGAAAATATCAACAGAAAAATTTTACCTTTGACAAAAAATCAGGGCTGAAAGGGTTAAATGACACCATTTTAAAGGTTTTTATATGACTTATAAGTTTCTTACTCTTAAATTTGTTTCAAATGCTTCATTTTCTGATATATGGAAAAAGCGAAAAATTACCGTTTTTTGAACTTAATTTGTTAATGGAACAAGCTGGAACAAGCTGGTTTTCGCCCTAATTACGGCACAAACGATCACCTGCAATGCCTAAAAACCCTGATATTAAAAACTAACGAATATAACCGTCCCTTGGCATTGATATTTGTAGACTTTAAAAAGGCGTTTAATACAGTGGAACTACCGTCCATCTTAAGAGCACTACAAGATTGCAGGGTCGACCACAGATATTGTAATATAGTCAAAAATATATATGAAAATGCCACAAAAACCATAAGTCTACATTCTGCAACTAATAAAATAAAGATAAAAAGGGCAGTCAGGCAAGGTGATACCATGTCACCAAAGCTGTTCATTACCGTTCTTGAATATGCATTTAAAAAACTAACATGGCAAGAGAAAGGAATATTCATCGATGGAGAAAGATTAAACCATCTACGTTTTGTGGACGATATTGTGCTCCTGTCAGATAATCTGGGAGAGATTAAAGACATGTTCCAAGAACTGAATGACATACTACAAGAAACTGGGCTAGAGATAAATTTCGAGAAAACCAAAATGATGACCAATATGGTTCCCAGCGAAGAGATACAGATTAATAACAACAAGGTCGAATTAATTGATAAATACACATATCATCACTTGGGTCATGAAATTAGAATAACCAGAGACAACCAAACCTGCGAGCTAAATAGACGAATCACGTTGGGATGAGCGGCATATGGAAGGATGAGAGACATTTTTAAAACAAATATTTCAATTCACCTGAAAAGGAAGGCATTTAACTAATGCATCTTACCAGTCTTGACCTATGGAGCAGAGACCCTAACTTTAACGAAAGCTACTGCCGAAAAACTGAGGGTAACACAAAGGCGAATGGAGAGATCAATGCTGGGCCTGACCTTAAAAGATCGCATGAGAAATGAGGATATACGCCGACGAACTGGCGTAGACGATATTATACTGCGAATCAATAAACAAAAGTAGAGGTGGGCTGAACATGTTGCTAGAATGGAAGACGGAAGATGGACGAAGAGATTATTGGAGTGGAGACCAAGAGCCGACAAGCGAAGTCGAGGCAGACCGCCCACCTGATGGACCGACGACCTAAGGAGAATAGAAAAAAAAATGGATTGCAGCAGCTAAAGATAGAGAGAACTGGAGAAGTTTGGAGGAGGCCTATATCCAACAATGGATGTGGGCTGGATAATAATGATGATAAATTTAATCCAAAAAATCGACTACAGGAAACATATAGGTTCTTGTTATAGAGGTCCATACTACTCAAAACAATTATCGTTTGCCTAGCCGGACGAGTGCCACGAAGAAAAGCTTATTTCCCTGGGCTATATGGGTTACTAATTATCATACCTTTTCTAATGCAAATAAGTTGATAAACAAACGATTGACATTTTTTCGCATTGAAAACTGTTTTTTACTTATACGAGTATCAGTTGAAATTTTAACTTTTATTATTTATGTTTTTAACCCTAGAATACTAACGTTTCTTTAACATACGTAAATGCTAACTATACGTCAATTTTACGTACTCACTGATTTAGGTCTAGTATTTTCTTTTTATTTCATATCTAATTAAAGCAAAATGGTTTAATTTAAAAGAAGTTTATTTAGGAAATATACAAGTTAAAAACATTGAAATATTATTAATCCAAACATAAACAACATAAAATAGTTTCTTTTGACAGAACAGAATCTTGTAATAATATGTACACGATAAACCTGTGGATATAATAACCATTACAAATATGGAAACGATAACCTTCTATTGATGTACACATTCCATGCACATTTTTATTTGATGCTCTCCACACAAAGTACTCCCACACTTAATATATGGTAGTTGTCATTCGTTTCTTTGCTGTAGAGCATAAACTACAGTAAGTCCGTTCTCCTTTCCCTTGGAGACCTAGGCGGTTTTCAGCAACATGCTTTAAATTTAAAAGAATAGAAAGACTCTCTTTGAGACTTCTTAATAAATTTGGTACTCTTTGGAGTCTTATTTGTTGCCACGGCTTCGTTAATTGTTCATGAAGTTTTAGCATAAAATTTATTCTTGATGTTGGCTCTGTTTGTTTTTAGTTGCAGTGTGATGGTATATTACAAAAGCGTTTACTGCTGCAATATTCATCATTTTGTAAAATATGCATAGCGGCCACCTTCTAGTCTTCTTATTGCTGCATAGTTAAAAGTAGAAGAATTGTCTTATTTTGCTTGGTTTATAAGATGATAAAGTCATGCTTTAATCGTACACAAACAGACTTGACCCGCACTTCCAAGTCTTGTTATCGAGCAATTCAGGAGGTATTTCTCCTTTTTTTTTGAGTGTTCTGACCATTGTCCACTTTTAAGAGGAAGATAATAATTCATTCGCAAGTGGGATGCTGAAAAACCAATTGTCCATTGTCACATTAGGTCTACTTCCATGTACAGGTCTCGTCAGGCTTGTGACAAAATGTTCTAGTAGTTACTTGCAGTTCCGTTAGCTACAGTAGATTTACCAAGATACGGTGTTGCATTTATTACATATTTCGTAGCCACATCGCAAACTATAAGTATTTTTATGCCGTATTTACTAGGTTTGTTTGGCATATACATGCGCAATGGACACCTGCCACGAAATGCTAGGAGTTATTCGTCGATTGTCACATATGATTTAGTGTTATAATTTTTAATACAGTTTTCAATAAACAAGATCTAAAATTTAGATATTGAAGTAAAACTACTGTCTTTTTTACGTTTTTCTCTTATCAAAAATTTGTCAAATCGTAAAGAATTGATAAAAAAGTTAAACCTTTCTTTACTCATTGTTGCTTTATATCTATGGCCACAATAAGTGCTATCAAACAAAATGTCAGTGGAGAGCAGTAGCGGCTAGTGTGGTAAAATTTTGGATAGGCCAAGCAAGCTAATAACATCGCAAATTTAGAGTCATATTCTGTGACTCTTTTATTATCGCCCAATTCCAGTTATTGAAACTTTTTGTTATCCGAGAAACGTTGCTCTAATTGAGTGATAATATTGTCTAAAATCTCAAAAAAGATCCTTCTAAATTTAGTTTTAGCTTTCTCCAAAAAACTTTGATCTCCTTTATTAGATGAACTACCAGCTAATTGGCAAAGTTACACTGAATTGGCACACAATTGAACATCATTATTTTTATTCTGCAAGATGTTGTATAAGAGCTCAGTTTGTTAAAATGTATCACTAAAAACATTTAACAAAAATACAAATTTCAAATCCTCCAACTTACGTTTAAAACCATCTGCCTGCCTAATTGATTTTGCATTTGATTCTGGGCAATTCATTATGTCCTGAAAGACTTGTAACAATTTTTTTCTTTCTTGTGACAGAGCATATACTACTTTTGCATTTGACTTTCATCTTACTTCACTATTTGTGGTAATTCGTTTTCCAAGTATTTTATTTAAAAAAAAGGACTGTTTGGACGATTGGTGAAAATAAGCTGGAATACATTAAAGCGCTGAGAATAATATTTTGACTGTTGTAATATTGGAGCAACTTTGCTGTAAAACTAAGTTTAGGCGGTGATCGAAACAATGGGTAAATATTGCTAATGCTGCAGAATCTCTCACTAATTTTTGAAGTCCCTTAAGTTATCCCGACATAACCCTAGCTCCATCGTAGGTTTAAGCAATTAATTTAGCTTAACAGTCAAATTTACCAACTACACTAAACAGTAAGTCACGTAACGCTGGAGCACTTCGGTTTTCCCCTAGATCAAAAAAACCTAAGAAATATTTTTGAACAACGCCTTTTGTATCCTCTAATCTGCATAATATTGAACATTGTGCCCTTTCAGTAATATCGGTTGTTTCATCAAGACTGCATGCAAAAAATGTGGAGTGGCGTTCTCATACAACATATTTGTGTTTAAAATTTTGGTACAATTATAGATTATGTTACATATTTTTTTATCATAATTTAATAGAAAATTTATATTACGATTCGATAATTACGTTACAAGTGACAACGATGGTCCGTGTAGGCCCGATCGTCTGGTGCCTGAACAGCAATCATAAACACGACAATAAAAATCGTTGTCCGGCAAGCTGCTTAACTTCAAACGCTTTTTGTACGGGGATCTTATGTGAGCTGGGTCGGCCAGTTCCGATCGGACCTATTATTGATATTATTTAAAATGCCTGAATACGATTCAATGCTTTCTGTGGTAATATAATAACATAATTGTTTTAACGGACGTTAATGTATTGAGTGATTTAGTACATTTAAAAGTTATTTACATGCATTAACATAATTTTTGAATATATGGTTTTCAATTTTAAAGCTCTAAAAATTATTGGGTAGGCCCGGCCATGGATTTATAATTTTGTGGAGAGGTGATTATTTTTTAAAGCCACATAAAAATAACAAACATAACAGTGCTTTCAGTTCAGGCAATGTCGTTTCTAAAACAGTAGCTTTTTTGTCTGGTATTTCTCTCGTCACTCTTCGATTTTTTCGTTTTTACGTAGAAAAACTTCGCCCAGAATCTGATCTGTAAAAAATAAATTAAAAACATCTATAGGTTCTATAGCATCTCTAGCTAAGTCTGTTGGACCTGAACGTATATAAACAATATTTCTGGATCCGACTTTACGACCTCCATCATTTATTGATAAATTACTCCACTTATAATCGTTTTAACCTACTAAAGACTGTTTACCTCATATTACATCAGACGATTTTTGTTCAATACGGTTATCAGTATATGTTGATTCTGATGACAGCTGTTGCGTTATTTTAATTCTTTTACAAGAACATGTATTTCTTGTTTTTTTTTTGTGAGTTTCTGCTGGTGTATCTGCCCAGGTGTTAGCTAGTTTTGTAAAGACTTTTTGTTCGTCCTGTGTAGGATCATATTCTTTATCTTCAATACTACCGTCGCTGTCAAATGGATTTTCTAACTCTTCTAGACCATCTTTTGTATCACTTAAATTACTGAAGTCACTTTTATTTATAATTTCCTCCAATTCTTTCTCAGTAGGAGGACGCTTTAGATTAACATTTGATTTTTTTTGATTTTGCCTACATCTTATTTATATATCAATAATAACAACACGTCACAATTACGTACAAAACTTTTTGCGCGGATACTAACCACACGTATCTTTTATGTACAGATTGTTATAACTACTACGGTCAAAGCTTAACCCAAACTAAAATCAAAGCGAGTATTCATTTTTGTTTTATTGGCCATGAAGTGAGGATAGCATAGCCCACATTGCTAAGCGTTGCCACGTATAGTTTTCTTTCGGTAGCTGTCAAATTGCTGTCAGAAACAATCATACGACCCGTTGTGATGTATGGAAGCGAAACAAAGGCAAATGAAGAGAGACTATGTGTTTGGGAACGAAAAATCCTAAGAAAGATCTCTGGTCCTGTGCTGGATGAAGCATTGGGACAATATAGGATAAGAACTAACAAAGAGCTCGAAGAACTTTACCCAGACGCCAACATTATAAAAGAAATAAAGTCCAGAAGACTCCAATGGGCAGAACACCTCAGAAGACATTCTGACGAACAAATAGACTCGTGTGGGAGGAAGTCCCAACTGTAAGGAGACCACGCGGATGCCCTCGTCTCCGGTCGCGAGATAATATAGCTGGAAACCTAAGTACTATTGGGGTGGAGCATTGGATGGAGGTTGCTCAAGACAGAAAACAGTGGAGGCATGTTGTCGAGTCGGCTAAAGCCCACGAAGGGTTGTAACGCCACGGAGTAAGTAAGTAAGTTAGCTGTCATATTAAAATCGATACGTAAAATTTACGTACGCTGGTACTCTAGGGTTAATATTTAAAATATGAAACCACTTGATTAGTCGTATAATAAAAATATACTTACTTATACTTCCTAACTCCTCTTTGTAGTCATACGCGTCTACATTCTTGGTAGCGCTATCAATAAAATAAAACTTGGTGTGACATTTATTCCAAACTAAGCCATTGCTAATACTTAAATTAGTTAATTTAAGATGAACTTTTAGGTTATGGTCGATCATGTATAAACTACCACCATCTGAGGCAACTCCCAGGTCTTTCTGTCTTGTTAAAGTTCCTATAAAAGAGTGATAAACGTATTAACTCGCGATCAGTACCGCTGTTAAAATTTATCTAACATTTTTATTTTCTTTTGTATTACGCCCATGTTTAATTTAGATTGAAATCAACAAAAATCTGTTCAGTGCGCTATGAAAGTTGTCAGTGACGGGATGTTATTAAAAATCTATCGCAGTACTGATTACGTAGTTACGAGTTTTGAATTATTATTGAATATAATATAAAAATATGAAAATATTTTTTGTGAGCTAGACTAAATTTGGACTTTGTTGTTGTTTGTGATGACGTACGAGAGAAAACACCCTTTGAGAGGCTATAGAAGATGATATGCAACAAGATGAAGTCGATCAATCAGACATAGATGTTTCAGAGACCGTTTTCTCAAGTGACGAAATAGATAAAGAGAATGTAACAAGGTCCTGCCCCTACACAATCAAATTTAGAAAGATCTAAAAGAAGTGGTTCCTATTATACTGGTAAAGATGATACTAAATAGTGCACCAAAATTAAAACAAAGTTGGAAAAACCAGCCGTCAAAATATTGTTATACAGACACCAGGTATACAAAGTGTTGAAAAAGAAGCCAAAACAATATTGGATTGTTGGAAACTTTTTTTCTCGGATGTAATCATTCAATATATTGCAGATTGTACCAACGAGAAACTTAAAAAAATTGGACTCACCAAAACGCAAAACATTATATTTGTAATGTAAACATAGCAAAAGAGTAAAGATTAAAATAAAGGGTTGTAGCATAGGGGAGAATAATAATCATTTTAATGATTATTATATATTTCAAATCAAATAAGGGATAATTAATACAGTAAAGTATGCATTTTAAATCACACAAAGAAATTGACCTAGTTATTGCATTGTTTGATAATTGTTTAAACGTAGAAAAAGCACGTCAAGCAGAAACTGTTGTTGTAAAAATAATACTGCTCGTGACCCAAATAATGTATAGAACTACTAACTCAGCGAAAACTTAACCTTGGTACTACAACCGGTCAATGAGGACACCAGTTGATAAAAACCAAACTAAGGAGGCCAAGCAGTCAGTAATAGCGAGGCAGTCAGTAATAGCTGGGCACCGTAACTGGCCGCTCAGGCAGTATTGCCGGCATCGGGTCGGACGCGATAGCTTCCCGTACGCTCAGGCAGTCGGTATGTCTCCGGGGAGTAGTTAACACGCGACATAGTATCTCGTATAAATCAGGTTAGTGGTGAAGTTCGTAACAACGGAGGAGTCCCCTCAACTGACCGAACTCCAGAGGACCGAAGACGTGTCGTTATTGAAAGTCTAACTACACATAAGGTAACAGATTTCTATATACTAAACTGAGTAATTATAATAGTACAACTGTCAATTCTTCACTTCTTCTTCTCGTCTCCCAGCGCGCCGAATGACTTATTAACGATTGTATTTGTAAACCACAGGGTATATTCAATATATTGTAGACTCTAATTTGGTTTTAATGTTCCTTTCGGCCGATTCAGACAGAGACTAGGAGAGTATAAGATTCTGCTTATACATATCTCCGGCTTCTAAAGTAAGCCCATAACCTCAACTCTTTACAGGACCTGAGACCTAGGAGTCCTTACCCCTATCCCGAAAATCCCTTATCTTCTCGTAAATCCACGAAGACGAACCAGTCAGTTCGGACCAGTGGGGCCTGTAAGCCTAGCAGCCGCTCGCAGGGTTAGCATCCTTTGAGGGTCTATAAAGTATTTCAGTGGTGATAGCGGAGTCGCCTCCTGCATTACATATTTCTACAGATTTTGACGAAATAAGTGCATTTGTCGGGCTTTTATACCTTGCTGGTGTAAAAAGAGTCTAACATTTAAATACTTCAGACATTTGGAGCATGGACGAAACGGCCCCAGAATACTTTGCTGCTACTATGTCAGAACTTCGTTTTGACTCTTTGGTACCAGCTATTAGATTTGATGATAGGGAATCTAGAGTAAAAATAGTCCAAGAAGATCATTTGGCGCCTGTGCGATACATTCTGGATAACTTCGTTGGGAAGTGTTTACAACATTACTCGGTGGGTAGTTACATAACAGTGGATGAGATGCTTGGGGGTTTTAGAGGGAAATTCAAGTTTCACCAGTGTATTGCAAATAAACCTGCGAAATATAGCATAAAAATCTATGCTGTTGTAGACTTTCGAATGTTTTATACACATAACATTGAAATTTATGCAGGTAAACAACCAACTGGTTCATATGAATTAAAGAATTATAAGTGAGCCCTTGGTGTCGTAATAAGCCTTTTAAGATATTGTAGTGGTACTGGATGAAATGTAACTATGGACAATTACTTTACATCTGTATCTTTGGCTAATGACTTGGTACACAACCACTATATAAAGTTAGTTGGTACATTACGTAAGAACAAGCGAGAGGTTTCCCTAATTGTTTAGATACTTAATTACAAAAAAGAACCAGCAGCATGTTTGCTTCAGGAGTCCATCCTAATAAATGTGTTCTTACCTTATATGTACCAAAACCTAATAGAAATGTGCTGATGCTGCCGACGTTTTACAAAGATGATGAAATTGATCCAGAAAGTGGCGATTCAATGAAATCTTCAGTCGTAACATTCTATAATCTAACAAAAGGAGCTCTTTATATGGTGGATAGGATAAAGGTAGAATGATCGACAACAAGAGTGAGCAAGCGTTGGCCTTTAACTGTTTATTGTTCTTTACTCAATATTGCTGGCTTAAATTCATTAAGTTTTTACAGCAATATAGACACAAAGCTCAAACGAAGAATATATCTGAAAGATCCTGCTAAGCAACTTACGAAGCCCCATATTGTTCGTCGATCAAGTATTACATCACTGTCAATTACACTAAGGCAAAAAATTAGAAATATTCTAGGAAATAACGCCATTCAAGTTGATGCTGCCGAGCTAAATGATGCGAATGTAAAACTTCGATGTTTCTTTTGCCCAATGAGAAAAAAAAAACAGATTTACTCAGCACCGATGTCATACATGTCTGACATCCGTATGTAAAGAGCATATTACAGAAACTATTTTAACCTGCGCTGACTGTACTAACAGAAGAGAAGATTGCTAAATTAATAACTTGTTATTTTTTGCTATTAGTTTTTTTGGTTGTAAACAGTTCTTTAATCTTCCTCTTTAAGTGCCGTCTCCCAATAGGAGGTTGAATATCATCATCACTATCTTTACTTTATCTACTGCTGCTCTAAAGAGTTCTATAGAAGTGCATTTAAACGAGTCCCTTAAATTTTTCAACCATGACACTCTCCTTCTTCCTATACTCCTTTCTCCTCTTATCTTTCCCTGTATTATCAGCCTTAGCAGTTCATATCGTTGGCCCCTCATTACGTGTCCCAGATATTCTAACTTTCTTATTTTTATTGTGTTTATTATTTCGCATTCTTTGCCCATTTATCGCAATACTTTCGTGTTAGTTTTCTTCTGTGTCCATGCTATTCTAAGCATTCTCCTGTAGCACCACATTTTAAAGGACTGTAACTTATTTATGTGTTCTTGCTTCACTGTCCAGCTTTCAAGTCCATATTGCAGTATCGAAAACACGTAGTATCTCAGTGCTCTTACTCTCAGTTCTAATCTAAGATCTTTGTTGCAGAGAATTGGTTTCATTTTTACAAACGCATTTCTTGCTATTTCTATCCTAGCTCTTATTTCGGTTGTTTGATCATTATTGTCTGAAATCCAGGTTCCTAGGTATTTGGATTTATCAACCCTTTCTATCGGTACATTTCCCAAATGTATATTTGTTGGTATATTTGTTTTCTTTATTATTATCATGTATTTGATCTTTTTTATATTCATTTTTAGTCCATATTTTTCACAGAAACTGTTTGTTTTGTTTAGCAGTAATTGGAGCTGTTCAGCAGAGTTTGCTATAATCACGGTGTTCGGTAATCCGGTAATTTTTATTGCTTTACTTTGAGATAGGAATGCATCTTCAAAAATGGCTTCACTATATACATTAAATAGTAATGGGGACATAATACATCCCTGCCTAACTCCTATCCTGATTTTAAGTTCTGGACTGGGTTCGTTATCCATTACGATTTGTGCTCCACTACGATTGTGCTCCATTACGATTTGATTCCAGTAGAGGTTTGTTATTATTCCTAAGTCCCTGTGGTTTATGTTTTTTGTCTTTAGAATTTGGACTAATTTTTCATGTCTTAGTTTGTCAAATGATTTTTTAAAATAAACGTAACAAACATGCACATCAACATTCATATACATGCATCTTTGAGCTAACATATTAAAAGCAAATAACGCTTCTCTGGTTCCTAGTCCGTTTCTAAACCCAAACTGACTATCATCTATTCCTTCTTCCAGTTTTTTATTTATACGACCATGTATTATTTTCAAGGATGAAGGAGACTTTCGTAAGGTTTGAGAAGAAAGCAGAGAAGATGGGGCTCCAAATCAACGAAAACAAGACGAAATATATGTATATGAGCCGCAATAACCAAAGCAGAGACAGAATCGGTCAGAACATTACCATCGATGACTTTAACTTTGAGCGCGTTAGAGAATTCAAGTATCTTGGAACAAAAATAACTGAAGACAATAACGGATCACAAGAAATAAACAACAGGATTCAGGCCGGCAACAGATGTATTTTTGCCCTCCAAAACCTTATAAAATCAAAACAACTAACACGACGTACGAAGATACAGGTCTATAAAACAATCATACGACCCGTTGTGATATATGGAAGTGAAACGTGGACGATAACAAAGGCAAATAAAGAGAGACTACGTGTTTGGGAAAGAAAAATCCTAAGGAAGATCTTTGGTCCGGTGTTTGATGAAGCATCAGGACAATATAGGATAAGAACTAATAAAGAGCTTGAAGAACTTTACCCAGACGCCAACATCATAAAAGAAATAAAGTCCAGAAGACTCCAATGGGCAGGACACCTTAGAAGACAGTCTGACGAACGAACAGTAAGACTGGTGTGGGAGGAAGTGCCAACTGGAAGGAGACCACGCGGACGCCCTCGTCTCCGGTGGCGAGATAATATAGCAGGAGACCTAAGCACTATGGGCGTGGAGAATTGGATGGAGGTTGCTCAAGACAGAAAACAGTGGAGGCATGTTGTCGAGTCGGCTAAAACCCACGAAGGGTTGTAACGCCACGGAGTAAGTAAGTAAGTAAGTAAGTAAGTATTATTTTCAGGAATAATTTGAGAATGTGACTTATAAGTGATATTGTTCTGTATTCACTGCAATTTTTAGCGTTTGTATTTTTAGGGATAGCACAAAAGGTGAAGAGTAACCATGGTTTCGGTATGTGTCCTGTTTTGTATACTGAGTTAAATAAGTCTACTATAATGCATAATGTTTCATCATTCATGCGTTTTAAGATTTCGTCTGGACTTAATGCTTTACCATTTTTGCTGTTTTTTAATGCCATTTTAATTTCCTCTTTTAATATGGTTAAATCCATATCCTGTTCTACTTTTATCTCCATCTGTTTTGTTCTATTATCTTTAAATAATTCCTTGATGTATTCTGTCCATCTCTTTAATTTGTCGCTAGTATTCAACAAGTTTCCCATTTGCATCTTTCAGTATTCTTGGCTTTCTTGTTCTATTGTTGTGAGTTAATTCTTTAATTTTTTTTTCTTTAATAAAACCGTTAAACAATTTGCATACAGTTGTCACTTGCAACAGTCATAATAAATTATATTTTATCATACTAGTCGTTCAATTTTCCAATAAATATATTATACACATAAATAAAATGCGAATAACCTATGAAAAATACCCCCAAGTACCAAATACCTTAAAAAAGGGAAAACATTATTATGTTACATAAAATCTAGCACTGTACTTATGGCGGGAGATTCGTAAGCGGTACCGATCGCGGGTTAAAAATCTAAAACCCTATTTTTATAGCTGGTGATTTAGGTTTATAATTTAACCCTTAGTTGACGGACGGTACTTTAAAGTACCGCTTATTAAAAAATATGTCTAAAACACATCTTTATATCTACCTTGATTTTTTCCTATAGGTACTTTAAAGTACCTTATATAGAATAATATAAGTGTATTTCAATCAACCGGCAACACTGTTTTAGCGCTAAAACAATAACGGTATTAGTGCATAACCTAGCTATTGTGTTGTGATTTGTCATCTGTAACACATGTGTCAATAACTTGAAAATTATCAACGTATTTCGGTATAACTGATTATAATATCGTAGACGAAACATTTGAGTGCAAACGTAAGTATTTACTTTTTATAAATAATTACTGTTGTTTGAGAAAACTGATACTTTTCGCTGCGGACTTAAAAGTACCGTCAGGCATTTGGAAGTAATTTATTACTGGACATAAATTTGTTTCGCTACATCGTTTCTTATTATATTCTAACCCGTTTCTTTTTTTAGATGGAAAAAAATAGACTGGACTAGCAAAAAACCTCTAAGTGATGCGGAATTATTAAATATTGTTGACAATTACTTGTTTGAGGATATACCGGATGACCTAAATTTCCAAACTGATAAAGAATCAGATAATGATGATGAAGTAATAATTAATTCTAACACTGCTGTACCAGAACCTTCAAGTACATTCGAAGTAGATGTGACTCAGTCCATAGAAAGTGGTATAACAGAAGATGTCGAGGTAAATTCATTGCATGAAATTGACTTTAGTCAGCAGAATGAGGCAATTTTAGATAGAAAGTGGCGTAAATGAGAAATAACTACTGCATCTTCAGAATATATGTACCCAACACGCACAGTAGAGGATAATTTTGCTGGTTGCGAAACTGGAACTGACATCTTTATTTGCCTTTTAGGTTCCATAGTTGATGATATAGTTTATCAGAGCAACTTATATGCTGTCCAAAGGAATAAGGTTCTGACTATAAAAAAAGATGAATTGATAACATTTTTAGGAATAAACATGTTCATGGGGTATTACAGGTTACCAAATTGGAGGCATTATTGGTCTAACAGCGAAGACCTAAAAACTGCAATCGTTCCAGCTGCAATGAGCAGAGACAGGTTTGATGCTATATTGAATAACCTTCATATAAACGACAATACTAATATTAACACACAAACTCAAGATAAACTATACAAAATAAGGCCAATGGTAGACAAACTGAATGAAAATTTTTCAAGAAATTATAGAGGAACTCGTGAGCTTTCGGTTGACGAATCGATGATACTTTTCAAGGGACGGAGCTCTCTAAAGCAGTACAATCCTCTCAGACCTATCAAGAGAGGCTACAAATTATGGTGTCTTTCCGATCAATATGGATATATTATGAAATTTGAAATTTACCAGGGAAAACACAGCATAGTTGAAGAAAAGTATAAGGACTTTGGACTAGGAGCCCGTGTAGTTCTGCATCTTACTGAAGAAGCATGGGGAAAGCAAAGAATGATTTATTTCGATAACTATTTTACCTCCATACCCTTGTTAGAGAAGTTAAAAAGTGAACTAACTTTAGCATGTGGAACAATTAGACCGAATAAAAAGTTTCTTCCTAAGAACTTGACAGCTGATAAATCCATGAAGCGCGGAGATTTTGATTACAGGATTTCGCCGATGGATATTGGAGTGTGGAAATGGAAGGACAATAAAATTGTTTACTTTGCTAGTAATTACCACGGTTGTGAGGAAATAACTGTTCAAAGGACTCAAAAAGATGGTACTAAGGCTGATATTGTTGCTCCTATGATTGTAAAAGATTACAATAAATTCATGGGGGGTGTTGACCATGCTGATCGTTTGAGAATTGTTTATGGTCTTGACAGACGTAGTAAGAAGTGGTGGCATAGGCTATTTTGGGGATTAACAGACATAGCATTCGTTAATGCTTATATAATATTCTGCGACATACGAGAAAACCAATCTCTTTTAGATTTTCGAAGAGGAGTTGCTATGGGTCTAATGGCTCACAACCTTCAGAAAACTCCATCAAAACGACGAAGACAGAATAGTGATGATACTCTGAAAGAAGAAGAAGAGAAACATATTATTCAGTCCCATCCGATGTACGCCTTTCAAATAGAGGCTCCCACTGGGTAAAATATGGTGCTCAAAGAGGTAGATGTGAGGTATGCAGCAGCCAAGGTGTACAATCGCGACCTCATTCAACATGTTCTACCTGTAAAGTTTATCTGTGTTCGAATGAGAAGAAGAACTGTTTCAATATATATCATGATGTTGATAATTGATGTATTTTCTAGAAATAAATTGATAAAAATCTCCGTATTTATCATTATTCACCTAATAACTTCCTACCACACTAAATAACTCTACACAGCCTGACGGTACTTTAAAGTACCGCATCTGTTTTTTTGCGTAGAAGGTTTTCAAAAGTTTTGAAAAAAATTATACTTCTTTTTGAATGTATTTTTGAACATATTTCATCAAAAAATTAAAAAGTTTTGTATTATTTTTATAATCCGGCAACTAAGGGTTAAGTATTCATTAACGTTTACTTGCCTGCCCAGACTCTCCCTCTGTTGTCAGCTTTCCCTTCGTTAAATTGGTTCATTGGTTTATTCTCTTCTATTGTTAGAATTTTTTTAAGTGCAGTTCTATTTGAAGACCACTTTAAATAATATACATCGTGGTCGGCAAATACTAAGTATCTTTCGAGTTCGCAGTTTATTGGTATCACGAAACCAATCGAATGGTGGTTTTCTAAAAAACGGGTATATATTTGTAAAATCTAGATTAACACCAATTTAAAAAGTACTACTTACTAAGTGGCAAAAACTGCTGATCTTTTTTGTTGTCTACGTTTATTCTATGCAGAGTTGACTTAAATGTATCTACGTAAAGTAGATTTTTTGTTTCCGGACACCAAAAAGGTCCTTCTGCATGCTGTACTGCTGTGGTTACTTTTTCAATAACATACGTATGGCTATATATAAGAAAAATATTTGTTAATTAAAAAAATTACAAAATATGAGTACAAAAATTGTATTTAGTTATCAAACTTATACAAAGACTCAAGTGTATGAAACATTAATAAGATAGATTTTGAAATTACAAGCAAGATGAGTCAAAAATATAGACAATTGTTAGAAAAAGTTTTAGGAGAAAGTTATATTAAAAACATAACTCCCTAGATAAAGTTAACTAAACAATTTCAAATTTTGTAGTTATAAATATAAAACTGTCCAATAGACTAAAAAAATTAGCAAATAAAAAGCCTTTTTCGTGACTTTTTGATATATGTCGAGAGCTGAGAACCATAATGTTCCAAGCGACAGTTTGTACAAAAGTGAAATATAGTTTCAAGTGCACGAAGTGTTTTAAGGTTAGAACCACATGGTTCCATGGACTACAATGAGAGTACTGGTGAAAGTTAAATGTCAGTTTTTGCAGTAAATTATCATTTTCTTGTTTTGCAATGTCCTCTGTGTCCGAAAATAAATTATGAGCGGATTAATGTAGCTCCTATTCTGAATATCTACCAGAAAATAACAGTGGAAAGAAATGGAAACCTATTAAACATTGTACTTTACATTTCGGAAAAAGTATCTTCTTCTTAAAGTGCCCTCTTCTCAGTGGAGTTAGCTACAACAATTTTAAACTATTTTCTATCTTCAGCTGTTCTTATTAGCTGTTCAAAATTTAGCCCTGTCCATTGTCGGATGTTTCTGAGCCACGATAGTCTTTTCCTTCCTAGGCCTCCCTTTCCCTCGATTTTTCCTTTCACTATAAGTTAAGCATATTGGTACTTATTATTTCTCAGTATGTGGCCTAGGTATGATGTTTTTCTAACTTTTACTGTGTTAAAAAGTTTTCTTTCCTTGCCTATTCTATACAACACTTCTTCGTTTGATGTATGCGATGTCCATGAAACTTTGAGTGTTCTCCGGTAGATCCACATTTCAAAGGCCTCCAATTTATTTACGGTTGGTGTCTTAAGGGTCCACGTTTCAACTGCATATAGAAGAGTCGACCAGACGTAGCATTTTGAAAAATGTAGTCGAATTTCGAGTTTTATTAGAGAATCACAAAGCAGTTTTTTATTTTTTTCGAAAGATTTTCTGGCCTGTGCTATTCTCGATCTTATTTCTAGATCAGAATTTAGGCTGCTATCGATCCAACATCCCAGGCACTTAAATCTATTGACCTGTTCTAAAATGTGCCCATTTATTTTGCAAGGTTAAGGTACGTTTTGGTTTTTTCGGATTGACATCACCTTGGTTTTTTTAATGTTTATTTTCATACCAAATTGCTCACAGGTTAAGTTGGTCTTATCGATGAGTCGTTGCAGACCTAAGTCAGAATCCGCAATTAACACTGTATCATCGGCGTATCTGATACTGTTGATATTTACGCCATTCACTTAGACTCCATCCTTGGAATCCTTCAATGCTTCTTTAAATAGAAACTCTGAGTAAAGAAACAGCAGAGGCGACAAAACACATCCTTGTCTAACTTCCCTCCTAATTTCTACTTCTGCGGATGTGGAACCTTCGATCCTAACTCTGGCGTTTTGGTTCCAGTACAAGTTTTTTAAGAATTTGATATTTTATCAAAGTATTAAACAATTTTAATAGATTCTTTATGGGGTGGCAAGGTGTAGTTTATGCGAACTTTTATAACAAATAAAACAACACTTATAAACAAAAATATATTCTTGAAGTAGATTTCTTACTGTCTTGATTAAAAAATAATTTTTAGACTAATTTTTCAAACTGGAGAGTCTTCTTAAGCTACAGATGGAGGCGTAGTAGGTTCAAGGGAAGAAGTCAATAACATACTTGGACCAAACAATTAGTTGTTGCCTTAATATCCTCTACACAAAAACATTTTGTAGGAATGATGCCAGTTGTTGCTTAGTAGACTACAGTTTTACCCTAAGTTCCGAATCAGAATCTGAAAAAAACCCAACAAAGGTGGTAAATAGGACTCGAAAACGAAATCGGAATCATCAGATGTGAAAAGAAAACACAACGGAAGGAGAATTATCAACAAGGAAAAAGCTACACCAGTTCTAAAGGTATAGCTAGGCCTGCTAAAGTATAAAATACATAGACAGATTGCAACCAAGGTTGTCTTTTTCGATGTAATGAAAAATTTAATCCCGAAGAAAGATTGGATAAAAAAACAGGTATTACTCATTGGATCAAAATGAAAAGTATGCATTTATAATAAATGTAAAGAGAATTTTGATTAAAAGAAAACATAGTACTGAAACAAACCTCAAATCTTTTTCATTTGAGCAAACTATTTTTCTTAAATACGCTTTGCATAAGCCAAAAGCACATGTATACTATGCATCTACAGAAAACTGATTCAGGGACACCAAACTCTAATAAAAGAGGTAGAGAAAGAAATTAAAGATCTCATTTCAAGTAAAGAAAAGGAACGTAATAACACAACATATATAATCTTTTCCATATGTTGACGCACATTATTGTAGGAAAGATTTAAAAAGAAGATCTCTAGATCCAACACTTAACGTTTAAAAAAATGTATGGTTTGTACATTAAAATTTGCAATGCAAATAATATACGTCCACAAACGCTGTCGTTGTATAGGCACATTTTTAAGTTTAAGCACAATCTAGAGTTCTTGCAACCGAAAACGGATAGGTGTGACGTCTCAAGGATTATAGATTGTCTAGAAAAGAGAACAGGGTGCATGCAAAAGAGGAACTCTTCATATCACTCTCACATTAGAAAAAAATTAAAACAAAAATAAAACTCAAACTGAGCCATTATATGTTTTGATCTGGAAAATGTCATAAATCTACCTAAATCTGAAGTCTCTGTGCTGTTTTATAGAAATTAAATGTATACAACCTAACAGCTCACAGTTCTGTCGATTCAGAAGTTTACTGTGCAGTATGGCCAGAAACATTATGTAGGAAATCGGACAATGATTTGTCTAGTGCCCTAATACAAATTTTACAGAAAGTAGTTTTAGAACATCCAGAAATAAATGAGATAATCACGTGAAGTGATAGTTGTGTTTCTCAGAACAGAAACTCCCTGATCTTAATAGCAATCACCATGGACGTCTTTATTTATACGTCCATGGCAATCACTGACTTCTTGAACAAACATCCTAATATCCAAATTATAACTATAAAATACTCCATACATGGTCATTCGTGCATACAGGTTGTCGATAATATCCATTCTCCCATTAGTTATGAAGCTTACGGATTTTTGGTCTCCACTAGCACTTGTTAGACATTTGTTAAAAGACGAAAGCCATTCTGTATGATTAATATGGAACCAACACACTTATATATTAACTTTACGTAATTAGTAGACCCGATTGTACCTTTAGGTGTTGGGCCGTTTATAATACAATTCATTAAATTACAATATTTTATAATCTTCTGAGGTGTCCTAGCTCTTAACGAACTTTCTCCATTCCTTCCTATTGGATGCCATTTGTGTTGCTTCCTGCCAACTCTTACCCTTACTCTGCAGTATCTGCGAGATGTCACTGTTCTATTCTTTAATGGGTATTTCTCTTCTGTCCTTCCCTATAGGTTTTGCGTCCCACATTTTTTTTACTTGTATATTATTGTCCATCCGGGTTAGATGTCCGAACCATGGCAATTTTTTCTCCTTGGTTAAGTCAAGTATCGGTTTGATTTTAAATCTTTCTCTTATTTTTTCATTTCTGATTCTATCGGTTCTTTTTACTCCGATCGTTCTTCTAAGGTATTTCATCTCTGCTGCCTTAATTCTGCTCTGATGTCTTTTCTTTAATATCCAATTTTCTGCTCCATATATTACTGTAGGTCTACATATTGTTTTGTATATTGCCATCTTGGTCTTTGTTGATATTTCTTTGTTATTAAGGAATCCTCTATTTAGTGCTTGGAGTAGTTTTCCTGTGTTTTCCATTCTGTTGTTAAGATCGTCCTCGATGTCTCCTTTGTTGTTGATTACTGTTCCTACGTATTTGTATGAATTTGTCTGTGTTATTTTTTTGTTGGTCTATTTTTACTTCTATTTGATCTTACGTCTCTTGTTTCCTTGATATTTTCATTATCTAAGTCTATATAATAAAATACATGTAATAAAATACCTTACACTAAAGTTTGTCAACTATGTTTTGTGCAAGGAGATATGTTTACTGTTCATTATAAGCTGAATCATCACAGCACCGAATTTTCTAGAGTTAATATACTGACAGTACTAGGAAGAAAGGAAGGAGTGGTTCCCATAAATAATTCCATTGCTGACTTTGAAGTAGCGCTGACCGATAACACAAAACCCAAATCTCTGACTGAGAGAAAGCTTGAGCACATTGCGTATTGCGTTTGAGTATAAATGGATACCACTGGAAGATCAGAATTACATGAGATGTTTGGTTTTTGAAACGAAACAATTTATAAATAAAAGTTAATTCTTCGTTCCTTTTCTTTTCCTATGTTTTTAAAGATTCTCCAACATTATTGTATAGGCTATTATTGTTATCAGTGCTACAAAGATAATAACGTCTACAATTATGACTTATTTTTAAAACTTCAAATTTATTTGGGGACACAAAAGTTCCAGTTACAGCAGTTATAGTGCCATAAGTTTCCAATTATAAATGCAACATTTTAAAAAGACCATGAAATTTACCGGGATAAGAAAGAAAAGTATCGTAAATTCATTATTAGATGCTAAAAATTTGTCGTTTGGCTAACATTTTTTATGAAAAAGAAGCTATAACTGACAGCAACAGATTGGGGCTGGAAACAACATCAACGAGGCAATATGCCCAAATTTACAGAAAAAGAATTGATCCCTGAAATACTGCTCAAAACTATTTATGCAGCTGTGAAACTGGATGTACCAATTTAAAATGTGGTTGCCGAAAACATGGTTTGAAATGCACAAATTTATCTTTAAGTTGTCACGGCTCACAAAAATGTTCTAATGTGGAGGAAAAAGC